TCGCATAGGAGTGGGAGAGACTGAGTAGGGTGTGAGACTTATCTTTAATCAGCAATAATTTTGTTAATTTACCAGATAGCTTTAAAAAACTTACTTTTGACTCTTGATAAGGAAAGCAGTTTAGAGATCGAGTTAATGTAGCGCGTGATTCAATGCAACAGCGGAAACTTGTTCGAATATACATACATTATCCCTCTGAAATCTATCTCAGAATCAGTATAGTTTAGCTGCTCAAAAGACAGTGACCACCGTACCCTGGCACAACCTACCCAATCTCCCCTACAACTTTGCCGTTTAACTGACGCACATGCATACATTAATAATATACTAATGGATGTAAAATATACGCCAGTTTATGAAATTATAGATTAATGACTTGTTTAACCTCAATGTATTCTAATAACATATTGATCGAGGTAAGTGATTGATTGAAAACCTGACTCTGGCGGCTTCTTAACTTTTGCAATTTATAGATCGAACTCAGAAGTATGTCTCTAAATGATCAAGATAAATGCTATAAATTTGTTTTTCGAACTAGTAAATATTTTTTGTAACTAAATTTTAAAACTTTTGAATCAATTTTCACAAAAACCCGGAAAAATAAATTTTCAAAAAATTGGCACAATGCGAGACAAAAGATCTAAATCCAAGACCAATATTGCTTTTAGGAACAACCGGGACACAGAGTGCAAATCCGGGACTGTCCCGGCCAAATCGGTACCTATGGTCACTTTATTGATATTAAGTTTCACACAAAACGAAATTTGAACCTGGCACCTTATGGTCATAGTGCCAAAAGCACTACTACTGGTTCACAACACCCTATATTATAAATAATTCATGGACTTACATCATTCAATCATAGCATGATTTTTATTTGAAGCAAAAAAATATCACCCTGAAGCTACAATTATTCGTAAATCTGATAAGAATTACTTTGCATACTTTCATAACAAGCGAATACTTTCATCAACGAGTTGTCGCATAAATTTCGACAATTTTATTATTAAAACTCTGATCATGTTTTGCACACACCATCGCAATGCAGAATGCGTACGTGTTGCTTTTACATGTAGTAACCGATGAAGACATATTGGGAGCATTGCGTGTTTTAAGGAACAGAAGCGATAAAACTGTCGTTAGCATAACTTTAGGAACTAATTTATAAACTTCATAAATTGTGAACGGCATAATTAAAACTTGAATTTTCTATTTGCTTGATTATCTATCAACATAACAACATATCAAATGATCAACAACAACTAAGAATAACGAACAGTGATCCTCAAAATGATGGTAATGGGAAGTACTGTCGAGAAACAGTGAGCTGAGTTAAACTTCAACTCGATTCAGAAATAAAATAGTGTGAGGGTTTCCATTGCATTTCACACCGAAATGTCCAAAGTAGGCTAATTAGAAACATAATTTTGATGTAAAATTTCAACTGAAAATGGACATTGCTGCTGCACGATATTTGGTTGCCAGAGCAGACATGACCACACGAGGCAACGCCCCTAATAAGTGCAGATAGCACTGATAAAGAAAAGAAAAAAAGGAACAATTGAAGTGGATTTTTACTTATTAGAAGACTTTAAATTGGTCATCAGGATTTCTTTCTGCTGTTATGAATTTAGGAGCTACTTCATATGAGATAAAATAGTTGTTTTAAATTAACGGTCTGTCTCACATGTTGGAAAATTGCATATGTTGGTAGTCAAGAATTGTTAAAAAATAGTATCTTTGCTGCTTTCTATCTAGGCACGTAAAGTCTAACCTCCTAATCTCATAAACTAAAATCTAACTTAACATGCTAAGAATATTAATCTTAACATGCATTACCAAAGTAACTACAGAAAGTAGACTTATGATAACATTGTTATTTGACATTTGTGATATTTGGAGGTTAGGTTATATATGTGAAACGCTTAAGCCAAAAGCAAAGACATAGTTAATTATTCAACAACATGTATCGCGAGAATCGGCGCATTTATCTAACATCTTCTTGATAGGCTATTTGGTCCATAAACTTCCAAAAAAGTAATGTTCTGAATGTTGTTTTTATGTATTTGCAGTAATTCTGTGAAGTATTAAAATAGAAACTCTTTTGTTATATTGGAGATTCTGAGCTTGTCGTGGTTTAGTGGAAAAGGCTCTAGGTTTGATAACCCCTTGGCCAACCTGATATCAAGCATAAGTAATATCAGTTTTCACTTGAATATTCATTTAATAAGTATTTGCTAATAAAAATAGCTTATTTCTGATAAACCTTCATGAAATAAACCAGTTAAAAGTAGCATTTTGCCTTAAAGCAAGTTGCATGAACTTCCCGAAACGTGTGATAATTGATTTAATCAACCGAAGTTGGATTTAGATATTTAGACAAACGTTACGTATATCATGTACGTAGCCCTTGATATAATTTAATGATTTAAATGAATGGTAACATTTTTTACACAACTAGATAAGTTTTGTGACCTGCTCACTTACTTTTTTGTTAATTCCAAAGCCATTTCTAATGGCTTGGACGATCTTTTTGCAAACTTTTTTTGTTTATTTATGATTTATTGGCTTTATAAACTAGTACATTAGTCATATACTAAATTACATAATATATACGCTATCTCTTAAAGTCTAGTCTAGTCTAGTTTTTGCAAACTTAATCGGCGGCTTAAATTATGGAATTAATTGCAATAGATGTTAAATTTATGAAATACAAATTTAGTTGTTTTATGTAAAATTATTCGGATTTTCAGCTTTGTGTTGTGTTTTCAGTTGTTTAGAAGTGTAATTTTAATTTTTAATCACAATTTTATCGACAGTGATTGAAAATATTAGGTGTAACAAATACTTGGGCGTTTTACTGACTTAAACATCGTCGACACTCTCATAGCGAAAGGGTTCATAATCATAATTGCATTAAAATATTCATTAGAACCTAAATTTGTTGCAATTGTTAGTGTAAAATATAGAATTTTCAAGACACAATGAATTATTAGAAAGATTAACGTTTTTGTATGATAAATTTTTAGTAATAATAATTAGTTAATAGAGTATTATTAACTGCAATTTTTATTACAAATTTAAGGTAATCTTATGTATATTTTTGAATAAATTGTCTTAGGCATATTTATAATAAAAATTGTCACAGTATTACCGCCACTAACACATTTAAATCTTTTGAATGAATCGGGCGCAGAGTGTGAGAGAATATGTCAAGTTGCATTCAAAAAACAATTCGTGCGAAATAACATTGCGCGTTGCTCTGCTGCGACAAAAGTATTCTTCGAGGCTGCGGTGGGCACAGCATTCCAGTAAAAAAAAGTTCATTGTTTCGTTACGATAATACACAACACAATTGCAGAGGTTTTAAATTGGATTCATTCATAATTTATACCACGAGCATTTATTTCTTTCGAATGGATTGTGGAATATAATAAAGTTCTTTGGTAGAAAAATAGACGTAGAAACAAATTGGTTATAATATTTCATCTAAATAAGAAAAAACATAAAATAATTATTACAATTGAAGACTGCAAAATATTTATGTTGATTTATTCAATCCTGAAAATATTGCAATCGCAACGCTTTCATATATTTTTGAACAGCAATCAGAACATAAGAGCTATATGAGCAGTTGGGACGATACTTCCTAATAAGAACGTAGTTTTTTAGAAGACAACCCAAAGGTTGGTTATATCAATTTGCGATATAATTAGGAATCTGGGAAATATTAAAAGAATTAGAAATCAGAGCGGTTAAAAATCGAAAGCTTAGGAAAATTCAGACGATTGGGGATCAAGTTATCATCCCGTGATCACCAGAATTACATTATCAAGATCTGGATTAAAAAAAGTTTCTATTACCTATTAATAATTTGACGCAGATGAAATGGTATTATTACTTTGATACATATTTCTACCTTTTCAAGTAAAAACCTATGTTAGCCACCATCAGGTTGACGGATTTAGGTATCAAACTTGGGAAATTCTAGTAGACTAAGGCTCTAATCCGAGTAGACTGAGCCACGAAAAAACCCATCAAAATTTTAAGCAACCCAAAGGTTGGTCTAACAATGGATCTAGACTAGACGATCTATTTGATATATTATTAGAATATTTCTAATACTGTTTTTAATTTGATGCAGAAAATTCGGGAAAATGATATTTTCACTTGTGACAAATTTTTATCTGTATTTTAAGTGAAAACGTTCTTCAAATCAGGCTGCCCGAGTTAGATATCGAACATGGAACTTTTTGGTTGAAAAGCTGAAGTTCTAACCATTAAAGAAAGGGAAAGCCTATAAAGGATTAATTTGGCTATGAGTTTGATTTGAAGCACAAACTTTTGAAAACGATTTTTTTGCTGAAACATAAAGTGAGATAAAAAATAATAATCAATACTAATTTAATTCCATAAAAAAATATTTATACAAAACATTGAAGTTTCAAGTGATAATTAAAATTATATGAGTTAGGTAATGTATATTTTCGAATTAATTAAAAAAAAGATTATGCTAAAATGCCTCAAATATATACAATAGGAATCAATTATATTTAACATTCACTGGTCTAATATAAAAATATTTTCGAAAAACGACATAATGATGAACGACATTCTACAGATATTAGTAGGAAAATATGTTGATCCGATTATCGTTGAATATTTTCGTTGAAATTTAAATAATTTAATTATTCAAAATTAACATTGTTATCGATTAAATATAAATTTAATTAGTTTAATTGATTTGGAATATTAATCGATAACAGTTTTAAAATCGATTTTTCTTTTTACAAACAATCCAAACAGATTTTACAGTGACTAAACTTGAAATTTTAAAGAAGTACGTTTCAATGTTCGCTTCAATTGAACAAATCAATCGTATTTTCGCAAAGAAATAAGATTTTTATGTACTATATATTATGGTTCGGTCATGCAAAAATTCAAGTATATTGCGAAGAAAATTTGAATCACAAAAATATAAAAAAATTATATAAACTCACCAGATCCTAGGCAGGAGCAATATGTCAGCAGGCCGACCAAAAGCACCAGTACTGCCGATCGGCACAGCAGCATGGTGAAGAATTTTTTTCGTCTATTCTGGCAATTGAAAAATGCCAGAAGTACTAGCTACTCCTATACCAATTCATATACTAAATGCAATGCTGCATTCATAAGTTAGTGAGCGAAATATTACAATTTTATTCTGTGAATCTACAGACTACAAAACCAGTCTTTTACTCTGTCTATCGATACAAGCAACATCCAACTCCTGAATAGCCTTATAAGATATTCTGCATCATCCCATTTAAATGTATAGTGATTATTCTGAGAATTTTCAATCGTTGAATTATCGAAAAATCATTGGAATATTTCTCTGAATACAGTCATGCATCATTACTTCACTATTTACTCATCACTGTTATTCGACATTGCTTTCACTTTTACATTAAAGCACAACTGAGAAAACCTATAAAAAAGTTAATTCAAATCTATATATACGTATTAATACAAAAACATAAAAATAATAAATCTGAGTGGTAATTGAATTTGTTAATGAAATTGTTTTGAGTATGTTTCACCGAGAGACGATGAAAACAAACTGAAACTATTGCTTTTACTCATAACATGTGTGGCAAATGTTTCTACTTTTGCGTCAAAAATATTTTAAAAACAAAGTTTAAAAATGTATAATAATTTTTTCATATTAAATAATAAGACAAGCTGTTGTATATAAAAAAGTTTTTTTGTTTAAAATACTATAAAGTAGTTTGGAATATTTTTACGATGGCAAACGTGTCATGAACTTAAAACTTTGAAAAACCTGATTATGTTCAGAAATTTGTTATTTGAAAATAACATTATCTGATGTTATTGCATTTTTTATGATGACTACATCGTTAATTACATTTGAATTAAAACAATTATAATTAGGTGAATGCAAAATTAAAAACAATGTTTGCAAAAACGTGTTTGTTAACGCATGTCTGGCACGATTTCGACACATTTTTAGAAGTACTTGTTTTATGTCACTGAAAATTATATGTAAACTAACATACAAACTGAAAAACACGCATGTAATATTTTCTTTTATAACGATAATAAAGTTATTGGAGGATAATTATGTAATAGTTGCACTATGCAAGCCAAAATCTTCAAGCAAAATATATACAAAATGTCAAAACCTCCCGTAGGGTAAGTCATTGTAATCATCCAAAAATCGAAATTGAAAATTTTTGCATTTCTCGACGTTTTGAAAGTTTCTGAACATTTTGGCATACCTCAGAAAAAATGGATGTGGTGTGTTATGTATGTATGGATACAATTTTCCGGTGACGTTTTCGGGTGCACGGATCAACCGATTTTTTAATGATTCAAAAGGCATTCGATTCCTATTGATAGGAAAATGTGCTGATTAGTTATTAGCAAAGGCAGGTCGAGCCGTTTCGGAGATACGGAGCGAAGAATGCAGAAAATGGAAATCGAGTTTTTGAGAGAACGGAGCATCCGATTTGAATGATCTAAAAAACATTGTATTAGTAAAGACTGGCAGATGTGGTTATTAGTTTTGACAAAGGCAGGCCCAGTCATTTCGAAGATAAAGAGTTAAATATGCAAAATTGGCAGTTTTTGAGGGAACTAAGCGTCCGATTTAAATGATTCAAAGAACTTTCGGCTTGTTTTAACAAAATAATTGATTTGGAAAAAAAAATTTTATTGACAATTTTTTTTCAATTTTTTTCAGATTTTTTTTTGCGAAAATAATTTAGATTTTATTTTTAATTCTGACTAAAAAAGTTCTAATATACTTTAAACAAATAATTTCAACTTTGAAATTCAGTTTATATAATTCTTATTAATATTAGACAATGTTGCAATATTTATAATAATCTATCTGAAAGCATTCAATAATCCTCGAACATTTCGTTACGGTACGGGAAGTTCCAGCATTTTCCGGTAGTTTTAAACAGTCACAGCCTTCATGTATTCTAAAAATTTCAATATTTAGGAGTATATTTAGTTTATTTGAAAATTTTCGATTTCAATAGACAAATGACAAATAGTCGTCAATACAAAAAATTTTGTCACTGCTCCGTGACGAGTATATTCGTCAATCACAGTTTACTAGTTGAAAGACAAATCTATTAGATTTAATGCTACTAAATTTGAATGCCATATAGAATGTTCGGTACACCTTGAAATATGATTATGGAAAATATTAGTGGCTATTACACGTTGTTCTACGAAGACATCATAATCACAAATTTGAATAAAAAAGAAGTTAAGAACATCATACATCTTCGTCACCTTAACAATAAACGATAGTGTAAATATGTAATTATTTAAAATCACCGACATAAATAAATGATATGCATATGTATATGATTTGAAACATGAATCAAACGGGAAAATTGTATGAAATCGAAAACATCAATGTGACATAACACATGGAACCCGTTACCATAGAGCGCGACATAAACAACTCAAATGCATCTGATGGAAAAAATGTTATGTTTGCGGAAATAAAGCGGTATACAACAATTTGCTAGAAAAAATTTTTTACTATGAAAAATCTTTAAACGAAAAAATAAATGATTTATTACTATTCATTTTTGCAGATGTTTTTAAACTGTCTAATTCGTGAAAGTAAGTCTATGAAAGTCTGTACGAAATTTCAATAGCACCCGGATTTCGCAACATATAGTTTATAGTTTTCGATACACAATATTTTTAAGAATTTTAACTTATTTTGGAACTCTTTATATTTTAAAAAGCCTAACAGCTTGAGTGCAAGTATGAAATAAATTATTTTTTTTTGATTTTTTTATTGTTACAACAGCAATCAGAACTCTTACTATTTATATGTTCTATAAGCTGTTTGGTTCAAGACTTATGATTTAAGGTAAAATTAAAAATTGATCATTTTTACTGAACTTCATAAAACATAAAAATGGTTGTTTCTCACAAGTATTACAAAATGATATAACCTGTTTGGTCATATTCGTGCAATTTTTTGCAAGAACACGTGTGATTTTGCAGCACTGAAACTCGGTCTAACACGGGCAGTTGCTATGAAACCGTGTGGCA